GATCTCGCTATCCAGAGATTAACAAGAGGATCAGTGCATGGGTGAACAAAAACAAAGAATTTCCAGATTATGTTGATGTTCTTAATCTAGTGAAGAAAGTGACCAAACAGAGTAGTCTACCTTTGAGACCAGAAACAGTTAGAGTTCAAGGTGAGATACATTGGAAGATTTTTGTACTGCTTTATTAAACAGTGTATTATTTATCAAGTACATTTTCCTTATGGTAAAAGGTCTTTATCCTCATTTTCCGAGTTATGTTATTTGTTCTTGCACAGCTCAAGAAATATTCCGTGATGTGGGCAGAATATTGAAGGAAAGAAGAGAGAGTGATGACTTGTACAACATTTATGGCTATGCTGAGGAAGAAGTGCCAGACCCAGCGGCGGAAGACGATGAGCTCAGTCGCAAACTTCAAGAGAATGAGACCATAGCCAAGCAGAAGTTAGATAAGGTGGGTGATTGTGCTTGTGCAACCGTCCGAGTTTTCCCCATCATTGTTGATTAAAGTCCTTGGGACATCTGAATATTGTGATTGATGTCATCTTCAGTATCTCTACCCAAAAGCAAGAGCTCTCTCTCTCTCTCTCTCTCTCTCTCTCTCTCTCTCTCTCTCTCTCTCTCTCTCTCTCTCTCTCTCTGTATTTTGTCTCAGGTCGCATTATATTTTTGAAATGTATTCCTAAAATATTAATGATAAAAAACAGCAAAAAGTCAATGAAAATGAATTGATACAAAATTAAATTTATTTATAAATAGCACAAAATGTCCTCCTTATATACAATTTAACCCAATCTGCATAGATGTCAAATATACATGCCATGCCCACTGTAATATAAGTTTATTTTTTGTATTTATACATAGATGGCTCTACAGGTGTTAATCACCAAGGAGTCACTTATTAGCCCTACCTATCTCACCTGTTTTCCCTTTTCCTTGACTTTTGGAAAGGGTCTTTTGTATTATTTCATTGTCTTATATGTTACCAAGATATAAGTATTAAATAAATTAACCCAATGCAGACAGGCGTGAGTTTACTTGTTTAATTGTTTTTGCACATAGATGGCTACACTTGTACTAAGTCACCAATGAGCTAATTACGAGTACTGCCTGTCTTGCCTGTTTACCCTTTTCTTTGATTTATGAAAATATTTTACATGACCTTATTTTGCTATTACTGATGTTTATAACATTATAATGATTATGATGTTCATAACAAAAATAAAACCATCGATATTCATAGCACCTGTAAAAAAATATGTTTTTCCTGCCAGTTCAAGGATTGTGAAATTAGGTAAGGGCACAAGATCTATTAATTGTCTCCTTTGTGACTAAGCACTAGCAGAGCCATCTGTGTGCAGTGATATTTCACAAAAATTAAAAAAATGATCACAGTATTTTCCCCAGTTTTTTATTCATTTTCCATGGCGACATTGGGTTAATCAGTTTCTGCATAGGAAATTTAGTGTTAATAACATATACAGATAGTCCCCTACTTAAGAACATTCTACTTATGAACATTCCATACATACAAACAAAATTTTTTAAATACTGAAGTCCAAAAAATTGTTTGAAAGATGCTAGCAAACTTCAAATTTCCTGGGCGCGAATATAGTTTAAGAGTCTGGTACTGTATAAGGTATGTTGTACTTATTAGGATATATTTACAGGTATTCTTAACCCATTGCCACCGGGGAAAATGAACAAAAAATGGGGGAAATGCAGTACACATTTTTTATATTTTTGTGAAATATCTCTGGCCATAGATGGCTCTGCTAGTCCTGATTTCACCTTTCCTTGAATTGGCGGGAAAAAACGTATTTTTACTAATACTATAAATATAGATGGTGTTATTTTTTACAACAAATAAGGATAACATTAAATATTTTCGTAAATCGATGAAAAGGGTGAACGGGCGAGACAGGCAATACTGTAATTGGCTCATTGGATACTTAGTACAAGTGTAGCCATCTATGTGTAAAAACAATCGAACAAGTCGACTCACAGTGGGCATGGCATGTACGTACATGCCATCCCCTGCGGCAATTGGTTAATGTAAACAAAACTTTAAAACAATGGGAAAAAAAGTAATGGAGACCCGACTTTCGACATACAAACAAATCAACTTACAAACAGCCTCTCGGTCCCCATTATGTTCTTAAGTTGGGGACTTACTGTATAATTTAGTGTATGTTAATGTATAATGGCATCAATAACAATGATAACAGTATTGATATCAATTATATTGAAAAGATAACACATTTTCACGTCAATTCAAGGAATGCGATAATCAGATCAGTCACTAGGGCTTACTGATAGACTCCTTACTAATTAAGCACATGCAGAGCCGTATGTAACAAACTTCACAAGAAACTACAGGGGACACGATATAAATCTGTGGCCATTGGGTTAACCCCTTGGTGCCGGGTGACGCCGATCGGCGTGTAAACAAAGAGCTCGAAAGCTGGCGTGCAGCCAAACGAGCCGGTGGCAAGCCAGTGATTCGGGCTGATGTCCCCTACTCACGCGCTCAAAGTCGGCGCGCCGCCTTTGTTTGTTTAAGCGTAGAGTTTTTTTTTCTTTTGTACACCCGGCGCCATTGGGTTAAAGAAACCATCATCCCCCATAACTGCCTCCTAGAATCCAGGGAATGGTGATGGCTAAAAAACAAAAGAAAAAATAATATAAAATATAATAAGGTAAAACCCAAGTGAGCTACATAGGGCAGAGCTGCGCTCATGAACCCGAGCCATCCACTCTCTACCATCCTTCGAGGGGGTGTATGTGCCTTTTTCTTCCCATGGATGGTAAAACAAAACAGGTATCTGGCTGGGGTGGCAAGTGGTGCTCTCTGAGTCTTTCCCCGCATGGGCACTTTGAAGGGGAGACTTGTGCATTTTCCTGGTAGGAGGATATTTAACTCACTACAATTATACACCCAAAATCTCAAAGGAAAACTAATTATTTCTCTTTCACCTAGATCTCTTGAATAGGGCAAATTCAGTTGGAATGTATAGCATTTTTTCTCTTTTGGACGTGTAAAAATTGGCAATTTCAAGTTTCACTCTTCACACTTGCCGCTTGGAAGTTTCTGAAGTTTGAAGCTACAAAATAGGTATTACAAGCATATACCCTGAAGTTTACTTTAGCAAGGAGAGGGAATATGAGTACAATATTGAAGATGATATCCTTGGCTGGATCTGTGACCATGGGACAAATTCATTTTCTTTGTTTTGTAGAGTTTACTTTAGTCCTCATCCCATTATGAAGATTTGTGCATAATACCTTGACAGGTGAGCCTAATGATGTCTCTATCCAGTGGCGATGATAACACCATATTACATTGTCTTGTATTGTTTGTTAACTGTGCATTCAAAATGAGAAATAGAGATCTTTGCATTTTTCAGATTTTCCAAGACTATGTGGACAAAGAGGCATTTGCGAGAGAGACTGCCGACAAGAGTGCTGTGAAAGTGAAAACAGAAGTGAAGGAAGAGAAAGTAGGGAGTGTAGATACAAATAGTGCAACGCCAGTGGAAGGAACGGAAGTGTCCAAAGCAGAAGTGGACACAAGTAAGCAGGCAGATGTGAAACAAGAAAATGACTTGGAAGAGAAGGAAGAAGAAGAGGAGGAGGAAGATGGAGAGGAGGAGGAAGATGGAGAGGAGGAGGAAGAGGAGGAAGAAGAAGAAGGGGATGAAGATGGAGAAGATGATGAAGAGGAAGAAGATGTGGAGGAGCAGATGACAGGAGAGACCTGCATACAAGACTTTGAGGACGATGGAGATGTAACAGATGATGATTTGAACGATGTCTTAGCAAGTGCGTGCATGGAGGAAGAGATTGAGGACTCAGAAGAAGGTATGTGGTTTGGAGCTGGTGTGTGAAAGACGCTTTTTTTTTATCATCATTATTGTCATGTTGATGCCAGGGATGTTGATTATGTTTTCCTTAGCAGTAGATATTTGAATGTCATCATTTTTGCTTATTTTTTTCATATTTATTGTTATTATATGAATAATCATTTTATATTTTATAGAATTATTTTATTTTTTGAAATAATAACATTGCTTTAGGATAATGATAATAGATTGTTGTGTCAAGAAATTATCAGTAAAGTAAATGGTTGACAATTTAATGCTAGGTATATACATTATAGTTTTGTTTGTGAATGTTTTAACACAGGTGGAGCTGCAAGCAATTAGTCACCAACGAATAAATTAATTGGCTTACCTGTCTTTTTCATAGCTTAGAGTTTTTTTTGTTATTTTTTGTTTTGTTTTTTGTTCCTTTGTTTTTGTGATACTATTATTACTGCTACTGCTACTATTACTATTATTATTATTATTATTATTATTATTATTGTTATTAATGACTTTATGGCTATTACACTGTCATTGACAAAAAAAAAAAAAAAAAAAAAATCAAGGAAAAGAGTAATGTGATCAGGTAGGCATAGTCATTGACTTCTTGGTAGCTAAGCAGTTTTGTACCCTTGTGGTGGCTTTAGGTTAACTATAGAGAAATCCAACAGCTTTTCTACTTGAGATTTTAAATTGTTTATTGAAACATAAGAGAATTCAGTCCAGTCATTCAGCACTAACACCCAGCCTTCTATTGTGGATGCAGATGTGCCAATCATGGACAGCGAAGAAGCCGTCTACAAGGACATAGCAGAGGACGACTACAAGAACGAGGAGATCATATGTCTGGACGATGACAACGACGAGCTTGAGGGTAAAGGGATGGGTGTGGGAGGACAGCTTCCCACGGAGGCCCCAGCTGATCCCTTATCCGCCACTACTTCCAATGCCTCTCCTTACAGCCTAAGTGAGAAGCGCAAGCTGGGTAGTGACTCCCTCAGCCCACACAAAAGGCAGTGCTTGGGGGTTGAGAATCCCTGATGATGACCTTTGACCTTTGGCCTGATAATATGTGGTTATTTATTCAAAGTGTCATTGGGGTGACTTGACTTTGAATACCCTTCTTCCATTTGCTTATAT